GATATTATATTCAAAAGGAGTCGGACTATAATAGAAAAAAATTACTTGGCTAAGAGTGAAGTAATTATGACTTTAGTTGATATAACCGGTGTTATAGAATTGAAACTAAAATCATTGGATGGAAAGAGAAAAAGTAATAGTATTTTTCTTCATATGTAATAGCTTCTTTTGATTAAACTGTGTTTCAAGTTTTCCTCAGATATCATGAAAGAAAGAACGCAAGAAAAAAAAACCTTTTACGAATTCGCAAATTACATTATTTGCATGTTCAGTAAACACATTTTCAATATCTGTAGCTCATTACAGAAACTGGAATATTTTTTCTACTTATTTCCTGTTAAATTTTGCTCTCAGTGAATAAACAGATGAATACAAAGAGATGTATAGTCAGGATTAGCAACTCCATATTTCCTAAATCAAGACGTTTTCATATAAAAACTAGAAGTATACCAGGAGACTTTTTTAGAAAAAAAATTAGAAAACCATTTAATACTATTTTATAGAGGAAAATTGTCGCTTACGTTCTCACAAAAATGTTATTTTTTTCTAGTGACGCAACAATAGTAAAAATTTTCAACAAAAAATAAAAAATAAATATTATAAAACAAGTTTTACAATATTAACTTTTTCATATCTGTTCATAGACATATAAAATATATAAATAACATCAAAAGGATTTGTCTTACAAAGTAATGGGAATGAAAAATACAACAAAGATATAGTAGTCATGATTAATTTATTTTGCCCAGCGTCGAACTTTTGTAATATGAGAATATTTTTCTGATGAATGAATTTGTTCAATGAGTGGATATGAGTGTAGCTCTTGAAACTGATGAATTCAGCAACTTCTACTTATATTCTTAGTTACACATCTGCCTTATGATTCTTGTTTATTTTTATATATGATATATAAATTTGTAAAAAATGTGTTTTTGTGCGTTAAAATATTTATTATTTTTTATTTTAAAAATGAACATACAAAATCATTTCATTTTACTTTTTTATTTTTTTGTCGGACAAAGAATTGTTAATAAATTGGATTCTGTTATGAATAATCAATACTAATATTATCAGTCAAATAGAAGCAGTCTACCTGAGTTACTCTATCCAGCTCTACGTTTATACAAATATCTACATATTCTGAAAGTACTGATTTGAAAAAAGGATTTTTTTTGAAGAATTTATTCGAATGATCTTTTTACTTCTATTTCTTTCTAATTGATCATATTCATGTTTATCATGATGATGAAAGATGTTAATGAAATTATTCAACATACGATCAAAAGTTTCACAGATTAATGAAGGTGCATTTTGATAATTCTAATTAAATAAAAGCTGTTAATATTTTTATTTATAATACTGTTTTGTTTATTAAAATGAAATATACATTTTTTAGAGTAGCCATTTTTGAAAAAAATTCAATATATAGAATAAAATATTCTGAATATTTTAGAAAAAGTTATTCAACAACAATAGATAAGATTGTAGTAAAATTCGTTAGTCATGAAAGCAATCATCTTATTTGTTTTCTGGATTCACTCGTCTGACACTATTTGTTGAGAACAAATTCTGTTCCATTTTATAAAGTATCCATATCTGATTTCATGATTGAATAAAAATATAGATTTTGAAAAAAAAAGTCATTTAACCGTAACTGAATATAACGGAGGACACAATATTCATGTTTATTGTATAACTTTCTATATCGCTAAAACAATTTTAATAAAAACGTTGTGTACAGTTATTATATGTCGTTTCTCTCATTTTGTAGTTGATATCATTTTTTTTCGTTTTTTTGCTTCTAACAACTAAATACAATATCGTTTGATATCTATGACAAAACAAATATCAACTCATTTTATGATAAGAAAGAGAAGAACATATCATACGATCAACATACTAGGCTACGCAACGCATATTTTATCAACAGTCTACAATGGCAAATCAAACTGGCAGCAGCTTTCTTACGTTACCGGTAGAACTTATCCATGGAATTCTTGATCATCAAACGGACTACACCATTCTATGTTCAATGAGAAACGTATGTCAACGGTTCAATAACATCATCGACAGTTATCATCGATATCAGGTAAATTATTTTCTATCATGACAGCCTAAGTCTTATCTTATGACTTACAAAATATTTCTCATTTCTACAATATCTATTTAAATAAAATGACTTTAAAGAAATATACATAATGGAAATAATGACCCCATAGTCAGAAAAAAAATGATTTCTTTTTCTTCTTTCTTTTCGATATCATCTAAATATTCCATGCTTAAAACCAGGTATGATGTCATAGACATGCAATGTCTAGATAAGAACGAAAAAAAAGGTAAAACTTACTGTTATTTATTTTTTACCTGTATCAAATACTTTTTCATACCATTTCGTTAATAAAACTCAGATTTTAAAAGACACCAATGGTCCTAAAACTCCCGTGGAGATACATCTCTGATAAATGCCCCATTAAGAATATGTAACTCTTCACAATACTCGAAGACTAACAGATATTGACAGCTGAAAAAACTTCTATGCATTGGTCGTCCTTAGTAACATATTTTGCGCCAATTTTCATACGACAATCATGAGCAATGCCAGCCATGTAAACTCACAGAAATATTCAGATACATACACATGCACTTTTCAGTCGAGTAACATCAACATTTGTTTGACTGATCTACCTACAGATGACAGTTACGAACAATTCTATCTTTTCATCTAGACACTCACTATATTAAACCTCAGCTCTAAGAGAATTAGAGATGCTGGTGTAGAACGTTTGGCTCGTGTATTAAGGCACAATAAGGTAACTCTCATTCATTCTTCATCAATAGCATGCATTTATCTCCATTTTCTCTCTAGACACTTACTACATTAGACCTCAGATCTAATAAAATCGGACATGTTGGAGCACAACATTTGGGTGATGTCTTACAACATAACACGGTAATTATCATTCTGTCTTCATTAATACCGTGAACTTACCACCCCTTTCTATTCTAGACACTCACTACACTATATCTCGGATGGAATGAAATTGGAGATGTTGGTGCAGAACGTTTGGCTCGTGGATTACGACACAATACAGTAATTCTCATTTTCATTTTATCTATATCATGTTTTTACCGTCACTTTTTCATCTAGGCACTCACCACGCTAGGGCTCGAATCTAACCAAATAGAACACGTTGGAGCACAATATTTGAGTGATGCATTACGACACAACACGGTTATTCTCATTCTCTCTTTATTTATATTATTCATTTATTTTAATTTTTTCATTCGTATAGATCCTCACCACACTCGAACTCGGATACAATCGAATCGGACATGTTGGGACACAGCATTTCACTGATGCATTAAGGTACAACACGGTAATTCTCATTCTCTCTTTATCGATAGCGTGTACTTACCATCCGTTTCTATTCTAGACACTTACTACACTAAGTCTCGAGTCTAATAAAATAGGAGATGTTGGAGTACAACATTTGATTGATGCATTACAGCACAATACAGCAATTGTAATTCTTTCATCATCTATACCATATATTTATCATCACTTTTTGATCTCGTCACTCACTACACTTAGTTTTGAGTCTAATCAAATCGGAGATGTTGGAGCACAACCGTTGGCTGCTGCATTACGACACAATAAGGTAAATTTCATCCTTCCTTCGTCGATACTATGTATTTACCACCAGTTTCTCCTTTAGATACTCATTACATTAGGTCTCGGATGGAATGAAATAGGAGATGTTGGAGCACAACAATTGGCTAATGCATTACGACACAATACAGTAATTCTCATTTTCACTTTATCTAAACCATGCATTGATCTCTACTTTTTCATGAAGGCACTCACCACACTCGGTCTTCGATGTAATAAAATCGGACATGTTGGAGCACAATATTTAGGTGATGCTTTACGTCACAATAAGGTATTTCGCATTCTCTCTTCATTTATATCATGTATTTTCCTTCACTTTTTTATCTAGACACTTAACATACTAGGTCTCGGATACAATCAAATCGGGGATATTGGAGCACAGAATTTGGCGACTGCATTACGATACAACACGGTAATTCTGATTTTTCCTACATCAAGACCGTGTATTTATCATTAATTTTTTATTCAGGCACTTGCAACACTAGGTCTCGAATCTTGTCTAATCGGAGATGTTGGAGCGCAACATATGGCTAATTCATTACGACAGAATACGGTAGTTCTCATTGTATTATCATATATGCCAGGCACTAATCTTCACTTTTTAATCTAGTCACTCACTACACTAAGTTTTGAGTCTAACGAAATTGGAGATGTTGGAGCCCAACATTTGGCTGACGCATTAAGACACAACTCGGTAATTTTAGTTCTATTTTTATCTATATTATGTATTTACCTTCACTGTTATCTGTAGACACTCACCACACTAGGTCTCGGATCCAATCAAATTAGGCAAACTGGCGCACAACATTTGTCTGATGCTTTAAGACATAACAAGGTAATTCTCATTCTCTTTTCATCTATAGTATGTATTTACGTTCACGTTTTCATCTAGACACTTACCACACTAGGTCTCGGATACAATGAAATCGGAGATGCTGGAGTAGAACAGTTCGCCGATGCATTACAACATAATGCGGTAATACTCATTCTCTCTTCATCTATACTGTATATTTACTACCACTTCTATTATATAGACACTCACTATATTAAGTCTTGAGTCTAATAAAATTGGAGATGTTGGAGCACAATATGTCGGTGATGCATTACGACACAACACAGTAATTCTCATTCTTTGTTCATCTATACCATGTATTGATCTTCATTTTTCGTGTAGGTACTCACTGTACTAGATCTCAGATCTAATCAAATCGGAGATGTTGGAGTACAACAATTGGCTAATGCATTACGACACAACATAGTAATTCTCATTTTCTCTTTGTTTCTATCATGCTTTTAACTCCACTTTTTATTCTAGGGACTCACCGTACTAGATCTGCATGGGAATAGAATCGGAGTTTTTGCAGCACAACATTTAGCTGATGAATTGCGACACAATACAGTAATTCTCATTTTCCCTTCATCTATGTCATGATTTATCTCTAATTTTTCAACTAGACACTCGTCACACTAGGTCTTACATACAATAAAATCGAAAATGTTGGAGTGCAGCATTTGGCTGATAGATTACGACAGAACACGGTAATTTGCATTGTTCTCGTTGATTTGTACGATGTCTTTACTTACATTATTTTGTGTAGACACTCGCCATACGAAATCGCTGGAGAAATCAAGTCGGTGGTGACGTTTTGCATGAGATCAAGGAATTTGTTAACAGAATAAGAGAAGAAGAGGACTGGCCTTTGTTATATTAATGTTATTTGGATGACGAATGAATAGCTATAGTAGTGATTATGGAAGTATTCTTTTGGTGTTATAATTTTTACAGAAACAGTAAATAAAGTTGCTTGATTTCAAATATAATGTATATTGTCGTGACAATGTTTGCTTAACTTAGAAAAACCTCGACAAAAATAACGAAACTTTGGCAGATGTATTTTGTGATTCTGTATACTGATAGTAAAAATTTTAAAGGTTCTTTTTAGTGAGACTTAATTCAAAAAGAGTTGGTATGGTAGCTTGAGAGAGGGCATGGTTTGCCTTAATGACATCCACACTCTAGTTTCTATTTTATGGATAACTTAACTATGGTCAGCCATTTTTTAAATGAACGGACGTTAATCGCAAATTTCTCATGAATATAAGACTATTTGAAGGAAAACACTCCTACATTTAATAACTATAAAATGAGACGATCATTTCAGTAAGTCGAATGAAGCTCATTCTAACAAATAAAACTAATTTTTAGTAGGATTTATTATATATACATTGTTCTTAGATATAAGTTTAACTTTTGTAATAAAATGCAGTAATGACAATATCTAGTCTTCTTTAATCCTTTGTTATTTGTTGAATTGATTACTAATAAGCATGTACTATCAAACTTTGTTGCATAGATACACCTAAAAATAGAGCTATGCAATAGTTTTACTTTTTTGAAACATATCATTTATTAGTTCATACTCAACTGTATCAATCGTTCACGAAATATAAGAAATAGTAATATTAGTATGGTATATGTACATCTAGAGAGATATTTCAATGATTGATTTTCTCTAATAAAAAAAGCATGAAACCATCTTGTTGTTACATTTAACTGTTGAGAAATCTCTAACAAAGAATATTTTTTAATTCTAGAATAGTCTTGATTTTAATTTTAATTAACTCAGTTTATAACTGATTTGAATTTTGAATGTACATATATAGAATACAAAGAAACGTTTTATTTTCATATAAAACAGTCATACAGATGTCAGACAATGTCAGTCTATGGATAATTAAGTCTTTTGTTTAACTATATTTTGAATATTCTTTTGTATGTATGGTATCATATGGAATAAGTTAAAGAAACGTTCTAGATTTCAATATATGTAAATAATGTCGTTTGAAATGAATAATTCATGGCTTAATTTAACTAATCAATCGATTGCAAATGATAATGATGATCGTTTCAATTTTAAATCTACTTCAGAAGGTTATTTTTAAACGAAAGAAATTAAATTATTTCAATCATATATTCGTTTTTTTAGATTTCTTTAATCGTGAAGGCGAACGATTTATGCGTGAAGATCCATTTTTACCCTTTTCAAATTCTATTCTTACTGATATAACACAAAATCAAGATCAATCATGGTCAAGTGAACAAAATCCTGGTAGTCCTGGTTGTTCAACAACAACGTTTTTCATGGCTAAATCATCAGCACCTGATGAAATGCTCAATGCACTTCTTGCTGGTAACTAAACTGAACTTTCCAGACTAATAAATTTCCTTTTTTTCATTTAAGGAAAAACTGATGGAATGACATTAAAAGAAAATCAACAACCAACATCTTTACGAAATATTGTTAATGGATGGAATGAATCATCATCATCATTAATGAATAAAAAATCAACAAGTGGTCTCAATCTACGTCAACAAAAAGGTTCACCATTTAATGAAGTATGTTTTAAAAGTCTCATTTTTCTTTTTTTGTATATTCTTATCTATAAATAATTAGAATTGTAATACTATTGTTAAAAAATCTAAGGCAATATTAACAACATCACAGCCTATTAATAGCGAAGTATATATTAATTACAAACTTCTATAAATAGTTACGAATTATTTTTAGGTGAGTCGTTCATTATTTGATGTTAAACCACAATCAACATCGACAAGTGTTAATTGTGATATGCTTGATTTAACAGGAAATAGTAATAATAATCGTCGACATAGTCTAGATTTATCTGATAGTATGTCAATTCTTTCTCTTCATTGTCGTCATAATCATCATCTTAATGGAAATATTTATACAAATATGGTTTCTGGTGGAGATGCATCAACAGTTAATACTGAAACTCAAACATCTCATTTAGCAGGTGGTGGTGGTGGTGGATCATCATCATCATCTTCTTCAACAAATTCATCACGTACACAAATTCATCAATCACAACAACAACAACAACATATACATCCATCAACTCATTTTCCTCCATGGCCTGCACATCATTCACAACCATTGTTTTATCCAGTCGTTTCTTATCATCCTATTTATTCATATCCACCATCAACATCAACAGCAATTCAACATCCACCAGCACCACTTTGTATTCATCCACCACCAACAACAATTAGTAGTTCATCATCAGATATATATAGTCATCATCATGATATAAATAGTCCAATTATAACATCACTTCATAGTCAACCAAGTGATGAGAAGTATGATAATCTATTTTTTCTTCGTAATATTATAATAACATATCTGTTTACTAAATATTCTCATGAAGATCAAATTGCATAATAGAATTTTGAATTTTTTTTGAGAAATATCAAATGACAAGATTAGTTATTTTTTTTCTTAAGATCATCCACATCATCTTTTCAACGTAATAGTCGTTCATCATCATCATCTTTACTTTCAGCTAATTCACAACGTTTAAGTATATTAATGCTTTTTTTTGTTGTTTTCTTTATAAATAATAATTCTTGTAGGTCATCATCAATTAACTGAACAACATGATCATTGGTGGCTTGATATTCCATCAACAACAATATTTCGTATGTCATCATGTTATGCTTATCAAACAAGTTCAATTGATGTACCTATTAAAAATAATGGTTCAATTGATATAACAGTAATTTTTTTTTTCTATTATTTATTAAACAAAATAATTGATTTTATTATAGTTAACTGTTAATATTCATAAATGGGATATTATATCAGATACGAGTTCAACATCGAATGAACATCATCAAATAATTCCATTTCAATTAGATAAAACTGAATATATGATTAAATCTCAACAAGAAATCATGATTAAAGTACATTTTTGTCCATTTCAAACAGGCAATTATCAATGTAAAATAAATATAAAATGTCAATTTTGTCCTCAACATCAATCACCATCATCAACTTCACTTGTCACATTAGTTGGTGTCTGTCATGATCCTCGAAATGAGGTGAATTATTTCTAAATACTTCTTCTCCCTTTTTTTTTTAAAATTATAATGCTCGTTGAGAATAATTATATTTCCTCTAATTTTGATAATAACTCTAAATAGAATCCTCTTAAAAATAAATTAAGATTTCTTATTTAGCATCCAATATTACTTTCATCAATTAAAGAACAACAACAACAACAACGAAATTCGGATGAAAATCTTATCAATCGAACATCATCACAAAGTCAAGTATCAGATATGTCTTTAGCATCAACAACAGCACAAAGCGATGGTGATCTTACATCAACCAGTCAACATCGACAAAAAGATGCTATACTGTAAATAAAAAAATAATCATATAAAAAACTAATAAATATTTCTTTTTGTCGTTTTCAAAAGTGATATTGCCAATCAGATTGGTATTGAACAGAATATACTTGATTTTGGTCAAGTTTGTATTAATGAAGATTCAACAACAAATTCCAAAACACTTAAATTAACAATTAAAAATTATAGTCGAACAGATCCATGTGATGTAAGAAGAATTTGTTCTAATGAAATATAATGCCATATATTTTAGGTTGATATAAATGAACCACATTTACCATTTTGTATAAGTGTACGTCGTGCTACAATTAGGTAAATTAGAATTTTCTTTTTATAAAAAAAAAAACACTTTTGTTATTTAGAGAAAAATCATTTGTTAAATTAACGTGTAAATTTCGTCCGAAGAAAATCGGTCTCTATAGTGAAAATGTAACATTAGTCATAAAACGACGAAATAATTTTAAAACAACAATTACATTAACAGGTCGATGTATTATGGATAATATCAATACGGTTTCATATGATTCAATTGAAAATGAAGTAAAGAAAATCTATTTCATTTATTTTATTTTTAAATAATCTTTTTTTTTTTTAGGAATAGTAATTTATTTTTTGTACTGTTGTTATCTTGATAGTAATTTTTCTTTTTCTTTTGTGTGTTCTTAAAAGAAGAAAAAAAACCTAGCATGTTTTTATAAAAATTTAATAAAGGAAAAGAATGTCATTTATTATTAAAAGCTTTAATCTATGTTGATGACACTCAATGATAAGATTAGATATAATGATGTCTCATGCATTTTTTTTTTGTTACTTTAGAAGGAAAAAAAGAAAACATAAAACTGTTATTATTATTATTATGACTGATTCTGTGTGAACATCTGCAAAATAA